TACATAGTTTGTTTGTACTTTGTTCATGTATTGTATTGTTTGCAAATATCTCAAGCAAACCCAAACGGCTCTTTTCAAAACCACCGAAGGTGTGCAATTGCATATGTCATACAATCTATCTAGCGGTAGTATGCTTTCTGTGTGCTTTGTTAAACACGTCCTTGTCAGCACTGAATATGAATCTAAAGAGTGGAGACAGCTCAAGATTGGTGTATTTTTATTAAACTGTTAAAAACAACAAAACCATATCTTGGGCTTGCCCTAGTTTGGAGCCCTAGCTTCGCCACTGGTCACGAATATGAAACGAATTTTCGGCCCATCTCTACAAACCAGCAGCGTCATCCTAATAAAGACTACTAATAAAAAACAGCTTCTGCCATCCCGCTTGCCAAGCGTGGCAACTGTGGCAAATATCCCCCTATGAGGCAATCTATGGGAGAGGCCTATGTTCAGCAGTGGACTTTGATAGGTTGTAATAAGAATGATTAGAGTAATAGTGGCAACGAAATTGACCATGAAGTCTACATTATTAATGAATTAAACGAAAGTTTTGCCCCATTAATAGCTGCTTTGATTCATGCTTCTGCGCACAATTTGTGTTCTTTAAACAATCCAAGGACTCGAAAATGATAAACAAGCGTTCGAGTCAGTGTCATTTATTGTATTCTACGAACTAATGATAATATCATACAAAGGTATAAAATGGATAGTAAAGGTAGTATTACAGATTTGATTTTTTAATGCAACAAGTTTAAATGAAACTTTTCCGTGGAGGCACAGGAGGTCTAGTTCTCATATTTATGATTTTTTCCTGCCTAAACATAAGACCAATTTTCAACTAGTATTATATAGAACTATAGTTTGTGGGTTTCTCTTGATAAAGTTATTTTATGATAAAGTTAGAAATGATTCGCAGAAGAAATAGAGTAAGCAACACAGCCCAACGGATTAGTATGCCGAAGTGGCAATGGGCCGGCTAAGCCTGGCGGAAAAGGGTTCTCGAATAGCAGCCTCGTACCGGTAAGCGACGTGTGCCCCCCCCCCCCCCACTACATGGAGCACGACCTGGTAGTACATGCAGGAAGTTGATGGATGCAGGCTGTGGCTGAAGACCGTGCTTTGTGCCATTTCTTGGGGAAGATTTATGTTAAGCAGTGATGATGATGATGATTTAAATATAGTAGTTAGATTGATCTTTTATTACCAATACTTTGCCTGATCGGAAATAAACGGATGCAATTGGTTTTTACGATACGTATACAAGGGCGACACTGAAAGTTTTTAGAACTGGCCACGTGTAAACGATATAATAAAAAAACTTTGCAATAAGGAGATATTAATTGTAATTTTTTTACGATTTGGCGACAAATTGAAATTTGTCTGTGTCACGTCAGCATGACTTTAACGCGAGAAAATTTTCGTTTAAGTCAACAAGAATGTTATGATAGACTTCGATTGGTCTTTTACGATGAAGCCCCATCTCGTGCCACTGTTTATAACTGCTAAATTGCGTTATATCAATCCTTTATGATATTCATTATATATAAAATTCTTCTATTAATCAACCGTTTAAAAATGTTTATGAATAAGGAAATAAATATATAAATAAACTGCGAACGTCAATCTGACAGCCAAGTGTAACTACATAAAACGAGAGAGAATCAAATCTATTAAAATTTGCATCGACATGAGGAATGTCTAGATTACGGCGCAAAAGATATTTTGCGCATGCAAATATGAACATTTGTTCGACATAATGCGGTCGAAAGTACTACAAGGAGTACACATTGATTCAAACTACTTTTGCGAATTTTATCGCGTTTATTTATGTTATTTTTAATTTCGGGTTCGTTTCGGGTGCTTTCCAGCACCCATGGTCACGGGGGGTCATAGGCCCCGTCGTCAAACGTCGGGTTTTTAAAAAAATAACATAAATAAACGCGATAAAATCCGTAAAAGTAGTTTGAATCAATGTGTAGTGTTCGCGTAAACATAAGAAATTATTACAAGGAGTACACTTATTAATGTTATTTTCCTTAATTGATTATGATCGAAATACAATTACAAAGTGTTGATCTGTTATAATATATCATAGTGTAAGGTGTTTTAAGAATGTTTTGGTGTTTAAAACACTAACTATTGCATTCAACTTAAATCCTATAAATGATGAAAGTTGTACATGAATGCACTCGCTTATACCGGAAGCAAACATCTGAGAGGTCATACACGTGGTAGAGCCATGCTGCAGGTATATTATAGTTGTAGCAGGAATGGCTCGGCTACTACGCGGAAGGACTATGCCCTCAGATAATACAAGCGTAAAATAGCACCTTAATGCTGCTGTGTTTCGTATGGTGAGTGTAGAGAACCGGAGACCCCTTTTATTAGAATCGAGGCATTCCATCTTAATCCTCAGGGGTGACAACGCATCTGCATTTTGACCCTTAATCATAGTCAATCATAGCATTCACTCACCATCAGGAGGATTGTGTGCTCATTTGTCTCAATAATTCTATAAAAATTTGTGAAAAAATGTGTGCATTATTGTACAATTGCCGTGTAGTGGCGGTTAAGAATATCCACTCCCCATATCTTCCCGTCTCGTGGCTGTCGTAAGAGGTGACAGATGGAAACAGGCAGGAGATGAGCAGCAGCTTCTTCCTAATAACAGGAATAGTACAAAAGAAACTGCGGTTGCCAACCCGCTCGCCAAACGTGGCTACTATGGCAATATACCCTCCATGATGAGAGATACGAAGAGACGGCCCCCAGTCCCCGACGGCGCCGCTATTGCTGGCTACCGAGGCGACCATGGTAACGGCGGGGCAGGGGGTGCTAAGAATCTCCGGTGGAGATTCAGTTGCAAGCTAAGTCGACTCTACTTGGCAACATTCAATCCTGAGAACTGACGACAAGATCCTGGAGCTGGAAAAAGAGATAGAAAAGTTGCGCTGGAATATTATAGGATTATCTGAGGTCCGAAGAAAGGGGAGGACACGGTAATCCTCGAATCCGGTAATTTGTTCTATCACCGGTAGGGCAACCATCTATTCCAAGGGAGGCTTCAACGCAAACCTAGGCACACGAGAGAACGGTGAGCTGAAAGTAGGGACATTTGGGACAGGGCAATGAAACCCAAGAGGCCAGCAGCTGGCCGGCTTCGTGGAGAAGGAGGGACACTATATGATGAACTCTTTCTTCCAAAAGTGGCCCACAGAAAGTGGACCTCGTCAAACCCCGATGGTTCGACAAAAAAATGAGATTAACTTCAATATGACGTCTACACGGCAACTGCTATGTGATGTCTCAGTGACCGCAAGAGTGAAAACTGGCAGCGATCACCGAATGGTTAGAGGCACACTGAACCTAAACGTTAAGTTGGAGAGATCTCGTCTAATGAAGTCAACGCTCCGTCCCCCTCTTGCTCTAGTCCAGAATCCCGAAACCTTTCAGCTCGAGTTACGAAACCGCTTTCAGTGCCTAGAAGATTGCAATGCAGTGGACGATATGAATGACAAGCTCGTGGAAACTATCCATGCGGTCAAAACTAAGTTCTGCAAGACCGGTAGCAGAAGAACACAAAAACTCTCTGATCACACTCTTAATCTCATACACGAGAAATAAAGCTGAAGTCTTCAGTAGATTCGACAGCAGCAGGCAATTAAACAGACAGATCTTCAAATGCATGCGGCGGGATTTACGCAACTTTCATACAGCTCGTATTGAAGAAGCGATCGAGCGGAACCAAGACTCCTCCAGTCTTTGCCAGAGATCTGTCTGCCAGTAAGAACCAACTGTCAAAGCTGAAGATCCAGTGTAACAGCGTCGTTTTGCCTTATTAAAAATCTTTAATTCGGCAAGGTCCCAGGCGAGGATAGAATTACAGCAGAGCTTCAGAAAACGGGTGGAAACCGGTACTAAGAGTCCTTCAGAAGGTCTTTAATTCCATATTCCATGATAGAACTACTCCGTAGACGTGGAGCAGAAGTGCGGTGGTCTTGTTCTTCAAGAAAGGCGACATCGCTCCCTTGTAGAACTACAGACCGATTCCCTTTTGAGCCACGTATACGTGCTATTATCATTCATTTTGAATTGTCATTATGAATTGTCTCGCAAGCAGACCAGAGTACAAAACCTATCCAACTTCAGAGAGGTGTGAGACAGGGTGACGTTATATCCCCGAAACTCTTCACCGCTGCATTGAAAGAATTTTTAAAGCTACTGAACTGGAAAGGATACGGTATTAACTTCAATAGCGAGTACATTACTCACCTTCGATTTGCCGACGATATGGTCTGTATGGTAGAATCGCTAGAGGATGCTGGCTATGCCGGTAGTTGATGAGAGCACTAAGCTCGAAGCTGTTGACGTGTATGTTTACTTGGGACAAATAGTTCGACCAGGTAAGTCCAACTTCGACCGATTCATAGGTCAATCGACGGATTCAACTCGTCTGGGCAGCGTTCGGAAAATTACGACACATCTTCTCGTCAGGTATACCTCAAAACCTGAAAACGAGATTGTACAACCAGTGCGTGATGCCGGTGATGTCTTATGAATCTGAGACGTGGTCCTTCACTGCTGGCCGCATGAGTACGCTCGAGGTCGCTCAGCTTTCTCTGCGTGATAAATTTAAAAATGAGAATATCGGCAGTAGAACTAGGGTGAGCGACATAGCCTAACGGATTAGTAAGCTAGTGGCAATGGGCCGGCCATATAGTTCGAAGAACCGACAACCGATGGGGAAAAAGGTTCTCGAGTGGCAGCCTCGTACCGATAGGCGAGGTGTTGGGCGACACCCCACTAGATGAAGTGACGACCTGGTAAGACATGCAGAAAGTCGATGGATGCAGATGGCTCACTATCGTGTTTTGCGGCATTCCTTGGGGGAGGCCTACATTTAGCATTGGATTTGTGAAGGGTTGTTGTTGAATGATAATGATGATGATGATTGTACAATTATGTAGTGATATTTCATATTTAAGAATAAAGATACTAACGCAGGCTGTGGCGTCTCCATATCCGACTCGTCGGAGGCGTCCTCGATGTCGTCGAAGTTATCTATGACCTTCCCGGAGACTTCGAGGCGGCGTAGCGAGCGGCCGCTGGAGGCGACGTGGCGCGCGATCTGCCGGATGAGGCGGCGCGGCAGCGGCAGAGATGCGCGCGCGCCTCGCGCCGGGGACCCGCCCCTCTCGCCGCGCATTGGCGCCATCTATTCAACAAACAAAACCCACATTATAACATACAACATATATCTACAAATCTTTCAGCTTTTTTTAAAATCCTTAGTTTAAAAAAAGGGGTTTTGTCACACAGTGACTATGTCACCCCCGTGATATACACACAAAAATAATAACAGAAAATAAAGTAATGAACACATTATAACATAGAAAGTGAAAGAGCTACATAAAATAAAAGTAAATTTAGCAACAAAAATAGATATTATGCAAAATCCTGTGATATGATTACCCTTATAAGTAAGAAAGGATTACACAAAAAGTAACCCCAAAAATGTCATCCGCCCCCCTCTTTTACACCCCAAGCAATTAGGGAAGTCTGAAATTCCAATCAGAAATCGGAACTTATTTGACAGGATGTGTCTCGAGCGAAGTCTTAAGAGCGCAATAATATTCTTCCTGTTAATTTAATTTTTTTAAAACCATGGATAACGAGAAGGTTGACACTGAATGGTTTTGTACCATATTCCCTTACTAAGTGAGCGTTCATCAAAATACTCTTGCCATAACTGCCTACAATTTACTTTAACCTCACGTAACAGTTCGCTGTGTACTGGTAAAGTACTATATGTAATACCGTCACTAATAGCTCGGCTTGCAGCTCGATCAGCCTCCTCGTTACCCATGATGCCTGTATTAGAAGGTATCCATTGGAAGATTACCACCTTATTTAATGCACTAAGCTTACATATGGAATCTAGGATACTATAGGCTATCGGAAGTTCTCGAATACTCGAGGGCGGCCGAGCCAAATGTAACAGGACGCCCTTAGAATTGGATAATATGACAAATTGTAATCTTTCAGCTTCTTGATTTATTTTAATTTTATTTATTTATCAACAAGTAACAAACAAATCACTATAACGTTACGTATTTGAATAAAGAGCTGCTACAAATCTTTATTTAAATATGGTAAACAGAAATATATTTTGAGTTAAAATAATATTGCTACAGAAAAGTTAATGTTCTCCATACTAGCTCTTTTACACTGTGCTCAGTTTAAAGAGCATAGTTTGTAAAATCTTCTTAAGTTCTAACGAAATAACAACAATCGAATAAATCAGTCTTTTTTATTATTAATTATTCAATATTCTTATAAATTATTAGTATGTACTAATATATAAGTATATGAAAAATTTAAAGAAATGGTCAAATTCAAAAAGCCTAATAAAAGCCGGACACCGTCTAATTTGGCCGGACACGCAACCAAAAAGCCTGACCGTATCCGGCTTTATCCGGACGCCTGGCAACGCTAAACCCTACTGTCACTGATATTGCGAGTTTTAACCGATAGTCTGAACTTTAAAAAAAAGCAGATAAAATAACTTCTGACTAAGGACGTTGGTCAAAACCATTTTTGCCTGATTTTCGCAGTCAAAAGTGGTTTTGACCGGTTATGAATTTTGACTGACATATATTAGCTACGTTAAAAATTCTATTTTTATTTTTTGTTTATTTTTTCCGTTACATTTTCCGACGAAAGACATCAATCTTATTTATTATGAGGTTAAATAGTATATCTGACGTAACAATCCGTGTAGCGGCGGTATAAGTGTAATTGCGTGCGTTGCTTACCAACTTACCAAGCGTGGCAAATATGGAAAATTTCCTTCTCCTTATAAGGCAATTTTAGGGAGGCCTAATTTCAGCACTGGACTTTTATGGGCTGCAATTTTAGGGAGGCCTAATTTCAGCACTGGGCTTTCACGGGTTGCAGTGGATGGATGATGGATTAATAATATATATAGCGGTGTAGAATATCCACCACCCCATATCATGGGTGTCTGAAGAGGCTACAGAGAGAAACCATCTGGTTTATTGCTGCCCATCTGGGCAGCAGCATCTTCCTCATAACAACAATAGTACGTGAGGGTAATATGGTCATCCGGTTAATATGTTCACTTTTTTATTATGCAAAAACTACAGCTTTGTTTGCATAGATGGCTGTGTGATATGATAGCTCTTTATCGGTCAATAGAAGAATAGTCAAAAGGGCGCTGCTTTTTAAACGTCATTTTGACAGTTGACATTATAGTAAATATTTTAGTCAATTTTAGTACTGTGTAGCGTAATTAGTTTTTTTTAAATTGATTTTCGAAGTGGTCATAATTATTGTCTAAGCTTGTATGCTATTATCTTTTTAGAATATTCGTTATAGTATACGACTATGTGTTTTTGTCTGTCCTCCTAGTTTTGTTTTTATAGGACAGCAAAGCTTAAGGTGACTAATATATATATAATTAATAGAATCAGGAGTTACTTTGCGGAAATCCATTATAATAAAAAAATATATATATATACGTTAAAGACACAGTAATTATGAAAAATTGTCGTCCAAGGCGGAAGGTTTTTATTGATTTTTTTTTTGAAGCAAGTGCGACGAACCTACATCTCAAGAATCAAAACGCACATATGTATACATTATGCATTGCCACACTTGAGGTCTAAAATGAAAACAAGTTGCAAAGCATCGCTCCCCCATTCCTACTGAGTATCTTAAAGATATAAAATTGGTAAAAATCCTTTACATTATTTTTATACCATATAACAATACCTATAATATACTTTATACGAAACACAGTAGCATTATGCCTACGCAATGAGCAAAGCACTTGATTCATTATGAAACAGGGAAGGGTTAAGCTAAATTTGTCGAGTTCACAACATGTCCTCAAGATATTAGTCGTCTCGATATGTTTAGCTTGTGATAAATCAGAACTTAAAATTGCAAAGAACGATTTCAGTGGTGCCGGTGGGTAATGTTAGTGCTATAAAATTGAAACAAGTGCCCAGTCTCTGTGCTTAGATATAATTAACCAAAAATTATGACTTATGGCTGCCACTTCTGAAGTAGAAAGTTGTCCGCACGGCAAAATTTTGCAACGATCATAAAACAACTAATAGAAGCAGCTACATTAACCTGTGACGGTAAACAGCTATAAATAATAACAGGTTCTTAAGTCACGTAGTGCTAATATTGAATAAGCTTTTTTTATTGGCAAGATCCAGTTACTTGAGTTCTCTATAAGCAATCATTTACATGCTTCTTCATAGACACTACCTTCTTCTTTATAGACACTACCAATATTCTAGGTAATTATTGGAAGTTGTTTACTGTACTTACACAGCTCTGGCCAGTATATGACCTTGGTACCTAGGTTTAGCCGGCGACAACCAGGTGCAGTCGATTGGTTAAACGAAGGTGTATTAGAATATAAGTTAACACCTAGGCTTAGCTATCAATAATGGCTGAAACTACTGTAACTGGTTGCTTTCGCCTAAAAAAAAGTTACAGCCTATATACGTCCCACAGCTGGGCACAGTTCTCCTCTCATTTCTGAGGGTTTTAGGGCAATAAAGTGTCCACCACGCTGCTCCAATAATGCATGTTGGCTAACTTCACGTCTTTGAAATATTATGTAAATCAGCAATTAAAATTGCAATTAACAATTTCATTGGTGCCGGTGGGGATCGAAACCGGGTTGCTCGCGTACTGTGAAATTTAAAGCAAGCTCTAACCATCTGAGCTACCAGGGTTAAAAACAAAGACCGAATAATAATAAAAATAACTGCATAGGTATAATACCCCTATTACACTACCCTAAATCAGGGCCCCGAATTAAGGGTGGGCGTGACCCCTTATTAGGGATGTCAGTTATTACACTGCACTGATTTTACGCCCTTACTCAGTCGTAGGGATGGACAAGTAAAAAAAAAAATCGTTATTTATCGGGACGATATTTTTATACAGTAACAATATTATTGCGTGATGAATATTTATATATCATCATGTTTTGCATGCTGTAGTAGAGTAAGGGCCCATTTTTTATTAAATTTTAACAGAAAACAAGTATTAATTAATTTTTTTTTACTTTTACGTTTATTTCTTTAGAAATGAGTTTAAAGATAACAATTTTGACAACCTGGTGCCCAGTAAGCGATTTCTCTACTCGATGATTGTAGCTCCAGCTTCTGAAAATAACAGCTCACGGGGTAACGAAGTTGCCACGATAGGCAAATAGATCTTATCTAAGCCGGGAAATACCTTTTATGTCATCCCACATTTCCAACGCATCTCACTTTATAGTACTGACAGGTGATGATGACATGAACATATGAAATTCAGTTTCTGCTTTAGTTTTATTTCTTATATTGTGGTGCGTTAATTCTTCATGGTAGTCCATATGTCCTTCAGTATTATCGCCTTATCCGAATACATTAACAAAACTATTACATGACGAAATACAAACAGGCGAACAATCGTTCATCCGGCAAAATCAATATTTTAGAAAAGTGATTGTAACGAAATACGAAGTACTGTAAGCAGATAAAACAATTTCCGTTACAAAATAACTATTACCTTATAAGATTGTTCTTAAGCTATTGATCAAGTTAAAGCTCAAATAATTTAATTATTAATAAAAAATGAATGAAACTATTTCAATCCATTTTCAATATTTGTAAACTGTTCGCCTTTTTTGTCGAATATTTTTTTTAAATTCGTGATAATCATCGTTCGCAATTTTTAACATACGGAATTGTAAATTTTCGAATAGTTTGCTATTTCGGAAGGTCGTGACTCTAATTTTTGATGGCAAGCCAAAACATCATTCATAAAACATCGCTCATGTTTTATGAACGATGTTTTGGCTTGATTATGAACGCTATACCGATGTTTGCTATGCTTCGTTAGCATCCCTAGTCGCCCGATGTTTGCTATGTTTCGTTAGCATCCCTAGTCGCCCGATGTTTGCTATGTTTCGTTAGCATCCCTAGTCGCCCGATGTTTGCTATGTTTCGTTAGCATCCCTAGTCGCCCGATGTTTGCTATGTTTCGTTAGCATCCCTAGTCGCCCGATGTTTGCTATGTTTCGTTAGCATCCCTAGTCGCCCGATGTTTGCTATATTTCGTTAGCATCCCTAGTCGTCCGATGTTTGCTATGTTTCGTTAGCATCCCTAGTCGCCCGATGTTTGCTATGTTTCGTTAGCATCCCTAGTCCCCCGATGTTTGCTATGTTTCGTTAGCATCCCTAGTCGCCCGATGTTTGCTATGTTTCGTTAGCATCCCTAGTCGCGCATCGAATAAGTGCCCAAACTGCTCTTTGTATTATTACAACACGGTGGTAAGAACACTACGGAGCGGGTCCACTCTGGCTCCCTAATTACGGACCCTTACCGCCTTACTCTTATTACACCTCCTTATTAAAGGCTTATGGATCCTTATTCAGTGTAGTGTAATAAGGGGTATAACTCCAGTTTGATTTCTCAATAATACAAAAGCACAATTCAAGTGACATCAGCGGCTGGGGCGGTCTTCATTGGTCCAACCCAAAACCAAGGAAATTTACATTATTTATAAATTATTTGGACTTTACCCAATCTACACACAATACATCGAACACGCCGCGCCGTATGGTTAACTAACCGCAATTAGTTGCACCTAGTTGTAGCCGGCTAAGCTGAAGTGTATCCGCACTTCCGTCTTGTAGCCGTAACATATTCATATGATTGTCGGCTAGTTAATTGATGTAAAAGTAAAGTAAAGTTACAGCCTATATATGTCCCACTGCTGGGCACAGGCCTCCCCTTATTACTGAGAGGGTTTTAGAGCAAGGAAGTGTCCGC